TAGTGTGTCAGGATTCAGCTGATACAGTGCTGACAGAGGTACCTGATGGTGCAGCTGGTCCTCTATCATTTAACTGACTATTAATTGACTTCAAATGTAATGAAGGACACAAATAATAAACTTCCTACAATTGTAAATGTGAATTTGCCATTTAAAATCATAACAATGAGAAAAATCAGCAGAAACCAGCACTAAATAGGCAACTCTCTCCAGATAAACAACAGCACTCCCCACAACCCTTAAATGACAAGACATTTTCATAGAAAAGAGCAAACCATTATCACACTTTGTAAAGATCTCAACAAGTTTGGAGTGTCCATTCTGTAAAGCCAAATCTAACAATGTTGCTCCATCCTCATTAGGTAATGCTAATGCTGATGACCCTCCAGGCTGGGCTGCCAAGAACAGGGAAAGCTTAACCAAGCCCAGAATCATCACAAGGTAGAGAAGAGTTTCTCTTTGTTCTCTTTGTTCAGGCCCTTAAAAAAAACACAGCAAGCAGATCAAAATCATCAGTAACAAACCCCAGCATTCTATCATACTTGCTGGTAAGCATCAAAAGACACTTATTATCTACTATCTGCAAAAGTAACAGCTCAGTTCAGACCTACGAAATTGTTTTGGCAGAATACATTAGGTCTTTCACTGAAAACAGCAGTTACATACTTAATTGCATATGCAGAGCTAAAGAATAGCTAAATGCTATCTAATGTCTTCCATCAAAGAAAACAGCTGGAATTAAGATCATTCCAGCTGTTAATTAATTATTATTTTTCTCTTTCTCTATATGCAATATAGCATTCAGGACCAGAAAATGTTCCAGTGGAGATGATAGCTAAAAAGCAATTTTTCTGTAATTTGCCTTGCCTCAGCAATACAAAACATCCAGCAGCACAGCAAAGTACCTATAAACTAAAAAATTTTAAAATATTAAGAAAAGGGATACGATTTCTCAAGACAGTCTGCTTATCAGGACAGTAAGAGATCCATATAAGCTTATAAGCTATAAAATAACACACACATACATAGAATATGCCCGATAATTCCTGCTTCTCTCTTCTCAAAAGGTGACTTCATGTGCCAATCCTTCCTCTCCTCTCCACTTTTTAGTATATAATCGTCAACTTCAATAAAAGAGTACACAACCATTACTTAGTCACTAGATGCTGAATCATCATTCACACTATTCCCTGGCCTGTCTTCAAGGAAAGATTTATTTGCCTTAATACATACATTCTCAAACAAAAGGTCTCTGCAATTTAAAGGCAATAAATAAAATATTCTCAAGTGCTACTCAACCAGTTTCTTACATTGATATTTTGGTAAGAAGTTAAACATAAGGGTTCCTCCACAAGGGTCAAGTATTTAGGGACCATTGCTCTACAGATTGCAGAACAATTAGCTAAAATATGTTAGGTTTCCAGTGATTTAAGAAATGTCACTGAAATCTCAATTTCCTTCCCTTCACAGCTTCCTTTTACATAATTGAAGGCTGCTGCCATGTCTCAGCCAAATACATCCTCTCTGGACATTCTAACAGAAGAGTTGCCTTCTACGAAGCTGAATGTCTTCTCTGGAGGCAATGGGGGGAAAGTCATTAGCCTCTTTTGAAAATGTTGGACTTCAAGTGCTATTATATTCCAAATATCTCATAGAACCAGAATTGCAAGGAACTTAAGGAACTTTCCCTACCACTACAGAGGGAAAATCACTGTAGCATCTCCACTGATGATACAGTTTTTTATCTCAGTATTTGGTATTGAGTATTTGGTGGCAACCTATCCAGACTTTTTACTTTTCCATTTCAAGTGGAATCAAAACTTCCAGACAGTCAAATCCCAGAAAAACATGCCATGCTTCCTTCAATAAATGAAAGAAATTCCAGGCATCAGAGTAAAAGGGAGCTTCAGGGCACAGCCTCCAGCACTTCAACAGCCAGCACACTTGAATGTAGTGTCTGAAAACTATTTTTATTGCAGTTCTAACAGAAGTAGACTCATTAATAAGACACAGGGAGAATTCTTTATACCAGAATATCACTAAACATTTACATAATATTTACCTAAGTATTTGTGGAACACACATATAAAATGTCACACCATTTTTTTTTAAACTTCATCTTACTGTGGCTAGCCAATATGTGACCTGACTGCCTGCCTATGCAACAATTTTCTCCACAAGTTTCAGTCTTTAAAATTTTTTCTTGGTCTTCCCATTTCAGATTCTAGGAAAATACATGTCCATCTGGGCACAGGATCTGCTGTAGGATCCAGGGCCACAGAGGAAAGTAATGAATCATGGGGTGTTTTTTTCCTCCAAGGTCTACAAAGTGTTTCTAATTTCAGTCTTTGGAAAGGATGATCATTGCTACATTTTAGTTACTAACACTAACGTGATCTATAGCGTTCACACATCTATGACACATGATAGCACAGATGTTTCAAAGTTTTGGTTTTTTTTTTATACCACTGAATCCAACTCAAGTATTTGCAGATTGCTTTGCTAAATAGAACCATAAGCAACATGGAACCACTGAAAGGCCTGGATTGGAATTAAACTTCAAAGATCACCTACTCCAAAGACCCTGCCATGGACAGGGACAGCTTCCACAAGAGGAAGTTTCTCAAAGCACCATCTAACCTGGCCTTGACCAATGGAGCCCGGAAGATCTGACTGAAACTCACTGTTTCAAAGCCCAGTCAAACACTACTCATCAAACACCTTGGTCTGCCTGGATCTGAGACCTTCTTCTATGGAGGAAATCAAAATAAGCACAGTTAAATCTTCCCAAAACCTGTGGATGATGTGCTACTTCAAAAATGAGAGACCACAGTACAATTTCCTCCTCAGCCAGATGTGATTTGAACACACACAGCTGCAAATTTCCTCTGATCACTGATGGAAGCATACCCTGTTCCCTCCATTGCAGAGTAATTGAAAATAGGGCATGGTGCAGAGGGAAATCCAGGGGACGCAGGGCAGAAGACAAGAAAACATCAGACGGACCACAATGCAACAATCAGCTAGGAGAAGTCTCTGCTGTTTAGACGTGGATGCCTTTCCCATTATACCAACGTCAGAAATGAAAAACAATGCTCAAAGCCCGGATCTCTCACTCACTCAGAGAATGACCTAACAATTCAGACACAGTATGAAAATGTGTGCCAGTATGATCCCTTTCACTAGCTGTATATCTGAATAGAGATTGATCACATCATCTGTGCTTTGCATAGACAGCACTGGCCCCAGTGCTATTTCTGTACTTCAGAGTCTCCCCTGAAAGGACTTCAGCAGACTCAAGGCTGTGCCACCCATCTGGACCCCAGCAGAAAACCTTGTCTGGAGTGTTTATATATACACCAGGGAGTTCAAGTTTAAATACCCAGGAAATTACGTGGTCCAAAATGCAGATCCTGAACAAATATTATCCATTCACAGGAAAAAAAAAAAAAAAGTTTTCAGATTTGCTGCTTGATCTGGAATACTGAAACTCTGTAAAGTCCCACTTTAGACATCAAGCTATGTTCTTCAGATGCTTCCAACTAGATCATACTACACTACACTACACTGTTAGAAACAAGACAACAGACAAATTAATCTAATTAAAACACATGCAAATACATCATACAATATTAAGCATGCCAAATGTCTGTAGATGCAACCCCAATCCTCAGACTAAATGCGTTGAAACAAAAAGGCAAACTTTACTCTGAACGTTGACCTGAGGCCACTGGGTTTCAATGTATACCATAACAATGTAAAAAAAGCCAGATAAGCTTGCTCTGAGGATGATAAGATTAGCACTTTCCCACTCAGCAAAAAAGGAGCCCTTAAAAAGCCCTCTCCCTGATGAGGAATAGCCTTCTCTCTGCTCCAGCACAGCAGTAAATAAAGTTACTCTTCTGGCAGCCAAATCTTACAAACAATGCAGTATGAATAAGTCTGGTGCAAAAGAACAAGTTTTAAAAATAACAGTAATTAATCTCTGTCTTCTGAAACCACCATCTAAAACAATAACTTCTACTATCTCACCACAAATAGTCTAGTAACTGATCTTTATCAGCCTAACCTAACAACCTCCATCTAACCTTATGCTAAATTTGTTCATGGCCAGCTTGAATGCACATGGTAGCTGAACCACCCCGCAGGTTCACTGTCTGCCTTCAGCCCTGATGCACTTAGTCAGAGACAGCACTCACATTCTTTTCTGTCCTTTACCTCTCTAGATGATGCGTTTGCTGGGCTAC